AGTTTAGTTTGTTACCTTGAAGAAAATATAAATCACATTACATTTTTTCACTACTTTTGTACTGGCCTGTGATTTTTTTGATTCTTCTGTATGTAAGATTATTGTATTTTTCATGTAAAAATGGTGCAACCGTTAACAAATAAATAAATAAATAAACAAATGCATCACTAAAAATCGAAGCATTTATTTTAATCAGGCTCAAACATAATTTACTGCATCATTTTTTGTAGTTCATCAACGTTACATTAGTTTCAAATATTTTTAGAAAATTTGGATTTATTCATTTTAACTTACTTCAATTAATTATTATTCTTACGATTTTTGTTCCAATTTCTTGACAGTTGTATTCACGAAATTTAAAAGATTCACAAAGTTCCCAAGCATAATATGGTAATTTTACACCAATCCAAGGTGTATTTCAGATATGTGATACTGTTATAATTCGGTTGTTAGGTAGAAATGTATCAGTCATAATATTTTCAGTTGCCTATTTTTCGTAGTACCTCTGCTCTTGAAAGACTGGTTTATCCGACTGAATTCCGTGTGTTCCCTACGACCAGAAAACACGTTCTTCCTTTGTCCACGTTAGAACGGACTCCACCTGAAGGCAACTCAACATCTGTATTGTCGGTTGAATCGGTCTTCGATTTCATGATGGGGAATAAAAACAAATAAACTTCGGACTGCACTTTATCGGTCACATTCTCCAAGCTATAAGAAAATGCCTACATTGTGATCTATCTATGAACATAGAGACTCTTTGGGCAAACTTGATTTAGCTCTGATAATCTGCACAAGTGTTCCCAGGCTAGTGTCTGAAGAGTAGAGGAAGCTTTCATAGTAAGTGGAGGTAGTTTATGGGTCTTAACTTATTAAAATTCACACCCTACAGGCTAGCAAACTATGTGCTATAATCAATTGACCCACTTTTTCTAAAAAATCGCTATTTTAAAAATCTCAATATTTTAAGACCAATGATTCGGTCATATTTCCAAACCAATGTAACCATGGGATATCAATACAGTTCTACTAAACAGACAATTTCCTAAACAGCAAAGTTTGTACGATTATGCAAAATCAGAGTTCACTTGTCTGAAGCACAGCTTTACATGTAATTTATTGTTTGATTAGCTAAATGTACAACATCTACAATGTTTCTGAAGTCAAATATAGGAAAATAAAATCCGTCTCAACAAACTGAGAAGTGGGCGACTTATCCCTTTATTACCGATAAATGATGTATAAATAACCTAGAGATATTGGTGATTTAACGTTTAAATGTAGTTTTACATTTGATGTATAAATAGTTCAACATTTTTAGTAGTTTGGTCATGAATGGTGCAAAAAAACAGAAGTTTAGAAACTTTATGTTATTTATCTTTTTCTTAAAATTTCATCAACTTACATTACACTTCATTGAGACAGAGCATAGGAAGTGAAGAAAAACAGTGTATATGAGTGGTGTACTGGTCGGGTCGGAGGCAAGTCGGGGGTAGTGTGCGTCGTCCCATTACATTGTGTGCTATTTTTGGCCCAGCGGGTCGGGCCCGACCAAACTGGAAAACTTTAGTCGTGCGACCAGTGCGCGCTGTTCCATTTATTCCTATTGTAAAACTGGTCGTATCCGACCAGTCAGAGTCGTGGTTGTAGTCGTGGTCGGGATAGTGCGCGCCTGCCCAGTAAAATTAAATTCGGATGTATCCGATTTTTTAGATACTACATTTATATAACAAGAGGTTAATCTTTTCGATATTTTTTTCTGTAAATAGAGTGCTCAAACATTCAACTCTAGTATGTAAACATAAAGTGTATATATTCAAATTCGTAACATATACTGTATGCATTTCTAACTATGTACCAAAAAATAACGGTAATGTTTTACGTACCTCTGTTTAGTTTAAAACTCCCAAAACGTCATAAGCATAATAAGATATGCCCAATTATTAAACAAAACCAGTTCGTGACTTTGCATAACCATGGCTGGATTGTTATCTGGTGAATCCTCGTTTTCCGGGGTTTTAAGATGTAAAACTGTTACCATGAAAATGTCATATTTAATTTGAATTCATTACTTATTATTACTGCAGGCTTATAAATTTCAAAGCTAATTGCCCTCTTTATAACATTTATTCCATTAAATAATTTATTAATATATGTTACGAATTGTATCTTTTAGAATTTAGCTAATATATATCTATTTTACCTTACTTATTTGTCAAGCTAGTTACCCAATTTTTTAATCTCATCACGTTATAATTGCTCTAAAAATAAAATCTGGAATACTTTTAATTATCCAATATGGATACAATTTGCCATAAAGGGATTTGGTGACGCTAATTTCTCTTTGTGAAATGTAATTTCTCAAAATCGTGGATCCGGTACAAAGGTAACAAATGTACTTTAATCGGATAAAACAGGATTCTATGATTAGAGAGTGACTTAGTGGTGTCTTTGAGAGCGAATCAACCGCATGAAAGAGCGATTTTAATGATCAATGTGTTTCCAGCATTGATCAGCTGTTTTAGAATGGAGTTGATTTTAAGAGGATCAGTAGATAAGTAAAATGTTCCTTTTGTCTTTGTAAAGAACAATGATATTCTTTATAAACAAATCTAATAAAATTAAAAGTTAAAAATGTACTCGAAAGTTTACAAATTAATGATTTAATAAATAAAGTAGGCAAGAAAAGTAAGTGAATTTTTTAGCTGATCTATGAATTTAGGTCTTTTACTCCAAGTACTCGGTCGGTTTAAAAATATTAGTAGTTTAAAATTAATTAGTAGAAGTTTCCACTGGAAATTTCAACTGAAAGTATGATGCTATCAAATATTTCTTGAATACTTTTAATACTTTTTTATGAAATGGCGACCATACATATTTCGTTGCACTACTATACGTGTCTTTCGCTTCTATTTGAATTTATTGAAATATAACATAAAACTCTCTAAGGAAAGGATAGAAAAATAGAAGAGCTGTCACAGTATGATCAAAATAGTTAGTATACAATGTCATATCAAGTAAGAACTCAAACTTTCTTCTGTATTCCCTTTATTTCGTCCGTTTATTTCTGTATCTGATACTCATAGATTAAAGATGAATTTCCTGTAAAAGTGACACCTACTTACACAACAAATAAATGACACAAAATATAGGGGTTTTAGTGAATGCCAAAAACACTTTTCTTAGTTTTTATTGACAACTAGTTTTAAATATACTTAATATACAAATAATACAAAAAATCATTGGTTTGTTCAGTTTTATGGCATTAAATGAGGATATTCACCACCAACATTGATAAGACGATCAACTTCTTGAGAAGAACGTGTCGTCGCAAGAGCCTAAGTGTTTATACCAAAGAGGCTTTAGATAACCTTGTTAGCCATACAAAGCAATTGATTATATTAGGCCTATACTAGGCTATAGTGGAGAAACTTTCCCGTTATAATCAATGTTCTGAATGGGTAAAAAAATAAGGATGGCTTACTTGATCTATAGGGTGTCAACCAAACACTGTAAAGTTATACACAAATAAAGTAGACTCATGGCTGAATTGTTCTGCTTCAACTAAAAAAGGTGTAAAATCCTAGAAAACGCGACCATGAAGTCCCATTGAATATAATGAAATTATTTTGATATTTTGTAATTATTTGTTTCACTTCATAGGCGAAGCTAGGACCTCCTCTCTACCACATATACCATAAACAAACCATAAATTACATTATTTACTTTAATAAATCAAATTATCTAAACCAAACACTTTAAACCTATAAACTTACAATTGTGAAAATGGGTGTCTAGCTGTAATATTCACTAAGAGACTAAGTCTGTTGGACTGAGTGAGGGGTTCTACAAAATGCTAAAATGTCCAAGTAGCCAAAAGTCACCGCCACGATCTCTTCCTCCCCAACAAAAATTCACTGTAATCATAATGTTCGGACAACTATTCTTTGTCTAAATAAAAAGGAAATCATTTAACACACCCTATTGCATTTTTTATCTGTAGTAAGCCAGATTATGTGATAAGTACGGAACAAGTTAGTATAGCTGTTAAAAAGTGTTTAATATTTAAAACTTTGCGTGTTATGTGGTTTAATAAAATTATGATCCAAACCTGGCGGAACCAACCAAACCCAACTTACCTTAACTTGGTATGGAAACCATGAGGTTTTAAATATTTGCTTGGACTTAAAATCAAACAATTTACAAGCTTTTCTGGTTATGTGTTAATGTTTCATTAAAACTTTTTTTTCATTTAAGTAGAGTCTATTTAAAATGCTTATTCTTGTGATAACCATTAACAACTGATTGGACAAACATAATAAAATACAAAATAAAAATAAAATTACATAAAGTAAAATACCAACGTTTAATTAACATTATTTTGATGTTGATAAATAACAGGCTTTGATCAATTATTATTACGTGATTGCATTGTACCTTGTATATACTAAAAGTACACGGGCCCAAATTTAAACAGATTTCATCAATATCTGTTAAATGTTTTCAAGTCAAATATGGTGATTTCTTTTTGTCGAAAGTAAAATGACAAAACCAATTTTGTAAGACGAAAAGCACAAGACAGCAACATAAAGTTTAAATATTCTTGAGATAACAAGTAAAGCATACTTAGGTTGCTAACAGGTTTTCGTTTGTTTCGAAGGGAAGAATTCACTCGGAATTTTGTAAATGTTGTTTTAACCCCTCGTAATGCATTTACCTTTACCAACTTAATCTTTTTGAAGCATAACTTCATTCCTTAAATTCCAAATTAGTTTATTATATTTTCAGTATTAATTAACATTACCAACTATGTAAATAATGAATATTTGTGTGTGGTTACATGTTCTCCTTATTCTTTTTTTTAATTCTTCAACATTATTTACGAATAATCTATTTATGAATTTATCTAACAGTGACTACATTCAAGTAGGAACAAAATTAAACTTTTTGCTTACTAGTATATTTTGATTTTGTTAACTATAACAAACTCTTGATTTCAGGACAAATAGAAGACCCTGAATTCGTTGATCAAATTGAAAACATCACAGTACCAGCAGGAAGAAGTGTGAAATTGGCCTGCACAGTTAAAAACCTCGGGTCATATAAGGTAAGAATTTTTGTTAATATTTGTTTGCTTAGTGTTTGGTGTGTAGTGGTACTGTATACACTTTTTTGTTCTGTTTAAGTTTACTCACAACATTATACAAAATCTGTTCAACAATTAATTTTAGGGAATTTATTTGCTTCTGTATGCAATAATTTCATTACTTTGGTAACCAAAACACAAAGATTTTCTGGATATTCAGCGGTTTAGCTTGCTTAACAGTTTTTTATAATTACATACAATGGTTACAAATAGTTTAACCTATTTTAAACTCTCTATTAAGATAATTATTGTGGAAATTAATGTCAATATATCATCTATATAAACCACTAGCTTCTGTACCGTTGTGCTTCGCAAAAACTTGTTAAGTAGTTCAAAAAAGTATAACCTACATTGCATTGGCTTAATCTTAACATTAAAATGTATCAATAACATAATTGTCATAACTTACGGTTATAGAATCTTTCTTTAATTTCATAATCAATGACATAGTTTTAGAAAAATTGTGTAAAATATTTTTTTTGTTTCGACCAGCTGCCTGAAATTGTAAAATAAGCTATCAAAAGTTCTGATTGGTACATTTAAATGTTAACTCAAAGGTAAACAAAGGTTATGAATTTTCTCAGGCTCCCATGGAGACCAATTAATATTTACTTTTGAAAACCTCACCTCAAAACTCTGGACATCCAAAGGGCATAGCCCGAGAGGAAGTCAGGGAAGTGAATTACATTCCTAGATATATGGGCTATCGGTGTGTTTATTTTTTGCTGTATCAGTTTAGTATTTTAGTCGTGGCAAAAAAAAATATATTTTTCTTGTAAGACTTTACACCAAACTGTATCAACCTAACAATGCAAAGCTAATGTATTGTGAGCAATAAACTATAAGTGATATTTTAGCCATCATAAATATTTCTTCATCTTTTTTCTTTAATCGCAGTTAAAGTTTGTTTCGGAGAAGGAATTAAAACGTCTCGGCCGCATAGCTGAAGCTGCCCGTTAACAACACCCGGTCTCGTAATGAGCCACAGAAGGCGTTATCTCGGCTTTCCTGATTTACAATATTCCCCAGGAAATTTAATGTATAGCTTACAACAGCTGGATTAACAGGATTATGCGATCATATGAGCTATACCAGTAAGATTTATAACAACGGAGTTATTAAGATTTTTTATTTTTGTTATACACTATTTTTTGTATACACTTTTTTTGTAGTTAATAAGTCAATGTAGTTAAAAACTAAAAGAAAATTTTGTATTTGTTTAAAAAAGTTCCACGAGTAAAGTTTTTTTTTTTATTTAACTACCAAGGCGTGTGGGAGGAACGAAAATAATGAGGTAATACCATGTGATTCTTATGTCAATCATGTGTTACATTACATATAACTTTGGACCCAAGGCTTTGGAACTAAGTGCTTAGTGGTGGCAATTTTGCCGTTTTATATTTATATTTTCCATGCAGTATTGTCATTTACAAATAGTAACATGAATTTAGTTTCGGTTTCAATATATTTGTGAAGAGAATTACAATTCTATTTGAAAATTATGTGGTCTCCATATTTTGGGGAATGACAAAAAATAGGTTTAAACTCCTAGTTTATAAAGAAAAAAGGTTGGAATATTCTGTAAACCATACATTTCACCCTGAGTCACCTCGGACTTTTCACACTACAAACTAAACTTACACAATCATATAAAGATATTTGTAAAGATATTACGTGCCCGGAATTGTTTTTCACGTTACTTCAGGCTAGACCTAGGGGTTGTGGCATTATCACATAGATCAAATCCATTGGTGACTTGGTGGGATTTGAACCCGGGACCTCGGAACCGAAGTCCCGCGCTCTAACCATTCGACCAGTTTGTTCCTCTCGCACAATTATAGTGCAATAACCAATTTAATTTGCGTTACTAAAATGTATAAGAAAATAAACTCATTGAAATAGGTTGAATAATACACTTTTGCTCTAACATTTGGAGTCGAAGCTCTAAAACAGAGGATTTTCCAGTTTGGTGAACCGTTCTTCTTCCCACCTCATTGTGACAGATGAGATTTTACGATTCACGTTTTCTGTTCTTTTATTGCTTTCTTTAGTCAAGTGTTTTATTTTTAAAACTTCGAAAATCGCGAGAAAACTATTTTTTTTGTATGTTTTATACGGGTTGAATACATTGCAAAGAAGGCTTTACCTTGTAAAAATGCGTTATTGTTTGGGTAACATACTGATAAACACAAATTTTAACACGTTACTTATATTTTAATACTCTCGAACCAATTACCCAATTAACCTGTTATGCCTACCACGTTAAACACATTAGTATACTAATGGAGAAGAGAGTTAGACATTGATATACTATAAATGTTTTGAGTTATGCTCTTAAGCTTGAATATTTTTATTTTTAATTCATAGCACTCTACCAAATATAATACAAATCTTGATTTATAGTCATCCTCAAGTAATCGTATTGTAAATGAAATGTACAAGTTTGTTTAAGTCCCTAGATATGTGATAAGAGCATATACTTATAGGAGAAATTTACTTAAAGGGCTTTTAACCTCTTACAAATTTAAACACATCCGATTTACTTGAGAGTGCACAGACGACTTTTATCATAAACTTTCATAAATGTGAATAATAAATATATACAAGACACATATCTGTGTATTGGCTTGCATTATTTTTTATATTTACTGATACCCCTAAACGGATAAATTATTTAAATGTATCTCATGTTTACTCTACCTTAAGACTTATAAAACAAAATGTTTATAAAATCATATAAACTACTGTTTAAAACCTATTTATGTAAATGTTATATTTTATAAGTAGATTCCTCTTCGAAAGTAAATCATTCTTTTGTTTCCGATGTGAATTAGTGTGAAATTACTGGCTGCACTATGAAGAAAGAAAATACAAATTTATAATGGAAAACAAGTAGTTTCTAGTCGATTTGAAATTATGAATAGATACTTCTTTATATTAAATTAAATTGATGAAATTTTATTTACAATATTGGCGATGGTTATGAATAAAAAAAATAGTAATTGAAAACCGTATACTTTGAATTTCTATATTATTAATACGCGACATGAAACTTTGTGAACAAAAAGGATTTTTTTGTTTTAAGATTCAACCCCACATATTATATACCAAAATGTTCGTCTAGGTATTTATATTTGCAAACTGACCTTAAATTTTTAAAATATTCCCTTGGGCTCTGCCCCAGTGGCTTTTAAAGTTTCCATGTTATCCTTATGAAGAACATATATGTTTACATTATGAACAGCTGGATAATTGAATTTATCGCTGTTAATATTTTAGTTCCAATTTAAGGAAACTTGTGCTACAAAGAATACCGTATTTAACGTATTGCTAGATTTAATAGTACCAAGATATGTGTACATCCTTAAAAACAGAAAAAAAATGATTCTATAACCACCTTATTTTGTACATGGTATAATCTTACCCGGACAAAGCCGGGTTTTGCTGCTAGCTTTCCAATAATTTGCCAAGCTAATTCCATTCTCAAAGGCTACACAATAAAATAAAGATGTATTTTCAAACTGCATGGCAACAAATTCCTTGATATTTAAAAATACCATGTACCGTCCCACACAGTAAAAGCATACGAGGAAACGAAGAAATTTTCTTTTGTTACAAAAATAATTAAAGGATGTTGGCTTTTCAAACTCCACAACAATCGTTCTACTTCCGGTTCACAACAATGATCTACCGGCGGAAGTTACGCCTTGAGTTACAGCCTTCCATGTTATTGAGCTCGGTTACAATGGGCAATGTGTCTCTTTGTCGACAGCTATTTCAGTTATAAACACTTTTGAAGTGTAACAAACAACCATTTGTTTAATTTTATTGATATTGTTTTAATTTTCGACCTTGTTAACCATAATTGCTATGATAACGTTATAGCTTTGGTTAAAAACAATTATACATCTTACTCATGATTCAATTTTGGTATTCTCGGGTTAAGCCTTACTGATGTAATTTTAACAATTTGATTTCATCACTATATGATGTCATATAAATTAAAAGGCTGCTTGTTCAATTAAATTCTCATTGTTTGTGTTTCAAAAATTGGCCCAACTGTTCTAATTTATTAGACATTGTATTTAATTGTCTGGCTATTGAACCAGCTGATCGTTGTCATGTAACGAAAATACTTCAACAAAGTTCAAAGATAATCTAACACTGTTTAACAAATATCTTGTATTAATATTCAGCCTGAAAGACGTAAAAAATTATAAAGCTCTATTAGTGAAGTAATTAACTAATAAACAAATGTTGTATGTAAGTACTATCTGTTTGTCACTAATTTATATATTTATTTTATAGAATAGCTTTACATTAGAATCGACGTAGATTGGAAACCATAACCACAGACTATAGAGTCAACATTACAGTATTCTATAGTCTGTGCCATAACACAACATACAACTTAAGTTCCAGTTATTTATTTAAATACTATTAACAGTTTGTATACACATCAATAAACACCTTATCTTTGAAATATTGAATGTGTGTCTAAGGAAAAATTTCGGCCTTAGTCACTAACAAGACTATAAGATAACGCCACTCATTCTACACTCATCTCAAATCATACTTCGCTTAAAATACCTACATTTGTATGGTCACCATTTCATATTTAAGTATTAAAGTTTGTATATTCCACAAATACCACATTCAAACTGTTTTCACTTTATAAATACAGCAATACTTTATCAATTGTTAAATCTGATAAAAAATTAAACCCACATATGTGTATAAAATCAAGTATAACAAATTTTGAACCCTTTTTCAATGGCTTTCCAGTATGTTAAATGTCGTTTCCCATCAACGTTAATGTAAACTGATGAAAGGTGAACGGTAGGAGGTTATTACTCTCATTACATGGCAATCTGTCGCATGGAGCTGTGTAAACCTACACTCATTATGGAAAGGTTGATGTGGGTGGGGGGTCGAGTACTACTGGTAAGGATGGGTAGAGG